GGGCCGGGCGGGCCTGGGCTCCTGGCGGTGGGGGATGGGCGCTGGGCCGGGCCCTCCCTCGGCTTTCATTGGCGATTCCTGGGGCGCTCCCTAATGAAGGCGCTGCGTGGGGGCAGGAGCTCAGAAACGCATTTTGCCCATTTCATGAATTTTTCCGCTTTTTTGCTCTTTTCCGCTTTTTTGCTCTTTTCCGCTTTTTTGCTCTTTTCCGCTTTTTTGCTCTTTTCCGCTTTTTTGCTCTTTTCCGCTTTTTTGCTCTTTTCCGCTTTTTTGCTCTTTTCCGCTTTTTTGCTCTTTTCCGCTTTTTTGCTCTTTTCCGCTTTTTTGCTCTTTTCCGCTTTTTTGCTCTTTTCCGCTTTTTTGCTCTTTTCCGCTTTTTTGCTCTTTTCCGCTTTTTTGCTCTTTTCCGCTTTTTTGCTCTTTTCCGCTTTTTTGCTCTTTTCCGCTTTTTTGCTCTTTTCCGCTTTTTTGCTCTTTTCCGCTTTTTTGCTCTTTTCCGCTTTTTTGCTCTTTTCCGCTTTTTTGCTCTTTTCCGCTTTTTTGCTCTTTTCCGCTTTTTTGCTCTTTTCCGCTTTTTTGCTCTTTTCCGCTTTTTTGCTCTTTTCCGCTTTTTTGCTCTTTTCCGCTTTTTTGCTCTTTTCCGCTTTTTTGCTCTTTTCCGCTTTTTTGCTCTTTTCCGCTTTTTTGCTCTTTTCCGCTTTTTTGCTCTTTTCCGCTTTTTTGCTCTTTTCCGCTTTTTTGCTCTTTTCCGCTTTTTTGCTCTTTTCCGCTTTTTTGCTCTTTTCCGCTTTTTTGCTCTTTTCCGCTTTTTTGCTCTTTTCCGCTTTTTTGCTCTTTTCCGCTTTTTTGCTCTTTTCCGCTTTTTTGCTCTTTTCCGCTTTTTTGCTCTTTTCCGCTTTTTTGCTCTTTTCCGCTTTTTTGCTCTTTTCCGCTTTTTTGCTCTTTTCCGCTTTTTTGCTCTTTTCCGCTTTTTTGCTCTTTTCCGCTTTTTTGCTCTTTTCCGCTTTTTTGCTCTTTTCCGCTTTTTTGCTCTTTTCCGCTTTTTTGCTCTTTTCCGCCCCCCCGCCCCCGCCTTGCCCCCGCCCTCTTCTCCCCACCATCCCCACCCCCACCGCCACCTTCTCCCCACCATCTTCAGCTCCTTCTCCCCACCATCACCACCACCATCTTCTCTCCACCATGACCATCACCGCCACCACCTTCTCCCCACCATCTTCAGGTCCTTCTCCCCACCACTGCCCCACCTTCTCCCCACCATGACCACCACCGCTGCCACCTTCTCCCCACCATCTTCACGTCCTTCTCCCCACCATCACCACCACCACCACCCTCTTGTCCCCACCATCTCCAATTTCTTCTCTCCACCACTGCCCAATCTTCTCCCACCACCATGACCACCACCTTCTCCCCACCACTGCTGTCACCTTCCCCCCACCCTCCCCACAGCCTTCTTCTCCCCCTCCCAACCTTCTCCCCACTGTCACCACCCTCTTCTCACCCCCGGCACCTTCTTCCCCCCCCATCCCTGCCACCTTCTCCACTGGGTCAGTGCCACCACCTTCGGCCCACCATCATCCCCCTCTTCCAGGTGTCCTCACGCCTCTTCCCATGGGGGAACCCAGGCACCCAGATGTACCCACCCCACCCAGGGACCCACATGTCCTCTTCTCTTCCTGGACCCGGGTCTCTGGGTGTCCTCCCGCTTTGATAATGACCACTCTCGGACTATGGTCTTCAATAAATGTCTCCTTTTGGGGGTGGGGCGCTCTGGAGGAACAGCAGGGAGATGGAGGGAGCTCCCCATGGAGGACATCAGGCTATGGAGGACATCAAACTGTGGAGGACATCAACCCATGCAAGACATTGACCCGTGGAGGACATCAGGGTACGGAGGACATAAAACTATGGAGAACATGGACACATGTGGGACATTGACCCGTGGAGGACATCAAGCTATGGAGGACACTAGGCTGTGGAGAACATCAAACCATGCAGGACGTTGTCCCATGGAGGATGTGAAGCTATGGAGGACACCAAACTGTGGAGAACCTCAACCCATGTGGTACCCATGGAGGACATCAGGCTATGGAGGACACCAAAGTGTGGAGAACCTCAACCCATGTGGGGATACGGACCCACGGAGGCCACCAAGGGACATGGTTCTTGGCTCCATGGAGGCTGCTGCCCCACAGAATCCCCCAGCCCACGGCTACCTCAGCCCCACAGAAGCTGTTGGTCCATGAAGGTGACCAGCCCACAGACATCACGGAGACCACGTGGACCCCCAGAGGCCTTGAACCCCTGCAGGCCTCACACCCACAACGTCCTTGGTCTCATGACACCTTCAGCCCCATGGAGAGCAGAGACCTGGGGCAACCCTCCACCCATGGAGACCACGAACGGCAGCCATCTTGGCCCCACAGGGACCACACACCCATGGAGACCATGAACTTCAGACTGTGGGTCCAGGTTCTCCACGACCCCACAGATGCTGGAGGTGACATCATGACCTGGTGGCCGAGGTCACCACACCAAAGTGTGGGTCCAAGTTCTCCACGGCCCCACAGATGTTGGAGGTGACATCATGACCTGGTGGCTGAGGTCACCAAAGCATGGGTCCAGGTTCTCCACAGCCCCACAGATGTTGGAGGTGACATCATGACCTGGTGGCTGAGGTCACCAAAGCGTGGGTCCAAGTTCTCCACAGCCCCACAGATGTTGGAGGTGACATCATGACCTGGTGGCTGAGGTTACCACACCAAAGCGTGGGTCCAAGTTCTCCACGGCCCCACAGATGTTGGAGATGTTGCCATCACCCAGGGTTGGTTGATGCCGTGGGGCCAAGTTGGACCTTGGAAACCTCACCATTGGCCAAAGCTCTTCAGTCCCGCCCTCCTCCAACAGAATCTGGCCCCACCCAATCAAGTCCTCCATGCATGGGGAGATCATCCACCCCCAGAAGCTTCAGCTCAAGGAGCCTTCAGCCTCGAAGTAGAAGATGATGGGGTCAAGGGCGGCGTTGAGGCTGGTGAGGAGCAACGCGTAGGACCTCCAGCCCGGGCTTCGTCTCTCGGCGAAGCCCACCACGTGCGAGACATTGTAGGGCGCGAAGCAGACCCCAAAGTTGATGATGGTGGCCAAGGCCAAGCCCACGGCCCGGTGCTTCTTCTCCGGTGGGATGTTTGGCCGGGCCAGGAGAGCCCACACGAAGTTGACGTAGCAGAAGACGGTGACGGTGAAGGGCAGGAGGAAGAGGACGAGGAACATCTCCAGGCGCAGCGGGAGGACGAAGCTCAGCTGGTTGTCGGAGAAGTTGTCGTAGCACTTGTAGATGTTGGTGGACCTATTGTGGACACCAGGAGAAGACCAGCTGGCGGTGGTGGAGGTCTGGGAGACATCTGTGGGGTCCGGGATTTTGGCACTGTTGGGGGTGGAGATCCTGGAGCCGGAGATGTTGGGGTTGGAGGTCTTGGGGCTACTCAGGGTGGAGATCCTGGAGCTGGAGATGTTGGGGTTGGAGGTCTTGGGGCCACTTGGGGGGGAGATCCTGGAGCCGGAGATGTTGGGGTTGGAGGTCTTGGGGCCACTCGGGGTGGAGATCCTGGAGCCGGAGATGTTGGGGTTGGAGGTCTTGGGGCCACTCGGGGTGGAGATCCTGGAGCCGATGCCAGTGGAGATGTTGCTGGTGGCGATCTGGATGCCGAAGTCATCGCCTGTGGAGTCGCTGAGGCTGAAGATCTCGAGGACTTTAGGGTTGATGATGGTGGGGCTGGAGATCTCCACGCCTTTGGGGTTGGTGATGGTGGGGCTGGAGATCTTGGAGCTGCTGGGGTGGAAGCCATCAGGTTCGGCCATCTTGGAGCTGCTAGGCTTGAACCCGTTGACCACGGAGCCATCAGAGCCAACGGCCAAGGACCTGTTGGCCAAAGTTTGGTTCCCACCACCATGATACTCGGCCACGAAAATGATGGAGCAGTGGGAACAGGCCAAGAGCCAGAGGACAACGCTGGTGGCCAACGCCCGCCTGGGTCTTCTCCGGTCCTTGAACTGGAGGGGGAAGACGACCCCCAGGTAGCGCTCGACGCTGAGGGCCATCAAGAAGAGGCTGCTGAGGTGGATGCTGGAGTAGAAGCAGAAGTTGGCCATTGGGCAGAGGACCATAGGTAAGGGCCAGGTCATGCCAGCGGCTGCTTCAGCCATTTTGAAGGGGAGGAAGAGGAGGAGGAGGAGGTCGGCAGAGGTCAGGTTGAGGAGGAGGATGTCGGAGGGGGAGAGGTGGCGACGGGCCTTCTTCAGGAGGATGGCGAAGGTGAAGACATTGGCCGGCAAACCCACGGCGAAGGTCAGGACGTAGATGGTGAGGATCAGCATGGTGGGTGGACAGCAACCCTAGGGAGATGCGCGGACCCACAGGTGGTCTGGGCGTGGACCTAGGTGGGTGCTGTGGGTCCTCCTGAGGGAGGAGCCCGAAGATCTAAGGAGGAGCCCAAAGATCGTAGGAGGAACCTGAAGACCTTAGGAGGTGCCCGAAGAACTAAGGAGGAGCCCAAAGACCTTAGAAGGCGCCCAAAGATCTAAGGAAGGCCCCGAAGACCTTAGGAGGAGCCCAGAGATCTTTGGGTGCCTCCAGAGATCTTTGGGTGCCTCCTAAGATCTCTGGAGGCACCCAAAGATCTTGGGAGGCGCCCGAAGATCTTGGGAGGCGCCCAAATATTTTTGGGTGCCTCCTCAGAACTCTGGGTTCCTCCTAAGACCGTGGGAGGCCCCTGAAGACGTTGGGAGGCCCCTGAAGACCTTAGGAGGCCCCCAAAGATCTTGGGAGGTGCCCAAATATTTTTGGGTGCCTCCTCAGAACTCTGGGTTCCTCCTAAGATCTTAGGAGCACCCAAAGATCTTAGGAGGAACCTGAAGATCTAAGGAGGAGCCCAAAGATCCTAGGAGGAACCTGAAGACCTTAGGAGGCGCCTGAAGATCTTAGAAGGCGCCCAAAGATCTAAGGAGGCACCCAAAGATCATGGGAGGCGCCCAAGTATTTTAGGAGGAACCGGAAGACCTTAGGAGACCCCCAAAGACCTTGGGAGGCCCCCAAGTGTTTCCGGAAGCTCCACTTGGTCCAACCACCCACCCCCAAGGGTCAGATGGAGAGGCCCCAAGCGTTGAGGTGCTCCTCACCTCGCTCCACCCCCAAAAGGGGCCCCAGGTGGGGGTGGG